TATGTATGTATGTATGTATGTATGTATGTATGTATGTATGTATGTATGTATGTATGTATGTATGTATGTATGTATGTATGTATGTATGTATACATATATGATAATATATAATATGTACTAGTATAATATTAATGAAATTCAATTTAACCAGAATAACCAAAAATCAAATAAAAAAAATTTCAATTCGGTTTTTTTTCCAATTTTTCAATCATTTAGTTTCGATTTAGTTTTATATTTTAAATATTCAATTTTTAGAAATCCAGTTTATTCGATTTGATTTTTAACCAAATAAATTGAATTCTCACCCCATGAGTCCAATGCCTTACGACCCACCAATAAAACAAGGACAAAAAAAGGGGTAAATTTCTTAAACAACCCCTATTGTATAGCTAATTGTCAAACTCTTCCCTTACTGTTCATATATTGTCTTAAAATATCCCTACTATTTTTGACAATTGACTAATTACTCCCCTATTGTTAGGGTTCCACCACAATCTGCTCACATGCCACACCACATGACTGTTATATTTTGAGAAAATGATAGTAATACCCTTCCTCCAAAATTAGAGAAAAAACGCCGATGGTGGTTGTGAGCTCTGTGAACTCACAACATTTTTTAGAGCAAATGGACCCTCATTTTAAGATTTGAAAAACTTGATTTAGGTCTTTGATAGTGATTCCGTTTTCCATGGCAAAGGCAATAACCAAGAAATTTCGGGTTCTGAGGATTGGGAGAGGGAAGGTATTAGGCACTTCTCTCTCCAAGCTACTATAGCAACCCAATACGGGAATTGTTCAGGCTCAGTTTCTTTAAAAGAAAAACATAAATGGTTGCAATAATTTTTCAAATCCGGAGGAACATGCTTTCAATTTCTCCTAAGACCGATTTTGAGGTGATGTTATCGAGTCTTAGGTACTGATTTCCCTAAGACTCTCGCCTCTCTACCTCTATTCTCAGTCAAGAAGAAATTGCAAGCAATGGTTCTCCAACATTTCAGAACCTCAAGTAACCCAGAAAAAACTAAAAAAGACTTACCTTTCATATGTACTTTATCAAAAGATTTCCAGCAGCTAAAAGGACTTCAAACAAAACTTGAGTAAGGCAGGAGTTGGGCTGAGTGTTTTTGGTGTTCAGTTTGGAAGACAGGGGACGAGGCTTGAGCTTGGCTTTAGGGATTACAAGCAAAATGGGTATACTACAAAAGTTGGGAAACTCTCCCTTCCTTCTCTCTCTTTCTTTCTCTAGGGACCTCTCTCAGGTTTCCTCCCTTCAGTCCCCCTCGTCTCCCTCCGGTCTCCCTCTCGTGGGCTCAAATTAGATCAGTATTTATAGTGAAAGGGAGGGGGGTCTGGTTTAAATTCGCTCAGTTACAGTGCTTGAGATTCCACAGAGATTTTTCCCACAAATAGACAAAGATTCTTTAAAGAAATAGGTGCCTAGTCAAGCTTTCCTGTTTGGTGAAACTCTTTCTTCGATTTAGGGGTACTTTTCATGGGTTTTGTGTGTCCAATGGGATCTTGGGGCATACCAGACATTGTAGCCTAGTATTTGGGGTTATCTGTGGCAGAAAATGTAAATTTGATGAATTTTTAAAAGCTATTTTGTCTTTTTTTTTGTCTTAAGTAAAGGTCTGTTTGGTATTTTGAGCTTTTTGGGTCTATTAAGCTTTGTTTGATTGGTACAAGTGTTCTAATGGGTCAAGAACGGGTCTGACATCAGCCATCACCCTTTTAAGGCTTCAGGTTGGGCCAGATGATGTGGTAATTTAATTTAGTGTGTCAAAATAGTATCTTTCTAATTTAATGGTCAAACAGATGAATTATGATGTGAAATTTGGTGTGTTGAGGTTTTTTTGGGTCTCTGAACACAGTGGTGAGCTCTGATTGGACAAATAGTACCGAAATGATGGAGATCTATGGCTGACAAGTTTGGATCAACAAGATTTGCTAAATTATAATTTTTGTTTGATGAAGGGTCAAATTGAGGAATTTTGGGATGAAATTTGGTGGATTGGCACTTTTGAACATCATGAATCTAATGGAAGTGATGGATCTTTGATCAAAAGGTGTGGATTGATTGTTTTAGTTCAGATCATGGTCTTAGCTTATGGTTTTTCAATCAACGAAAGGGCATAAGAAGGAATCTTACTTTTTTAATGGTCAAATGGAGGTGTTTGGTCGTGAAATTTGATGTGCTGGGGTTTTTTAGGTCTTTGGATACGATGGTAAGGTCTGATTGGTAATATGAGGTTGGAATGATAGATGGTAAGCTCCAATTAATGAGATTTGCTCAAATAGGATCTAGGCTTGATGATGGGTCAAACGGGGGAATTTTGAGCTATAATTCGGTAGGTAACCATGGATTAGGGTGAGGAGTCAAGTGGATGATTCTGACCTGAGAAAGATATGGTTAACCTTGGTAACCGTTCAGGGCCATCAGAATGTGATCTTGATGTTTTTACGGTTGATTATCGTAGATTTGTGGTGGGATTCACTAGTTGATTGATTCCTACTGATCTTGAGGTGATGGGTGTGTTTGATTTGATTTTGAGAAGTTGGAGTTTGAACATTGCATAAATCGGGGCTGTTAGATAGGGAGTTGGCATGATGAATAGTAGATTTTTGCAGTTTACTCATGAAAAGTGATGTGTAACTAAGTCGTAGTTTTCCCAAGTATGGGGATAATGTCTGACCAAGGTTCTTGTTTGTCCTGTGGATTGTGTCAAAGGAGGGCATTTTAGGTTTTGGATAGTCTCAAGTTGATCTGGTTGTGTCTCTAACTTTTTGGGGTCTAAGTGGGGGTACAAAGAGGTAGGGTGAAGGGACCAAGCAAAAATTGGGTGCTAACAGTTGTCAAGATGCAACACCAAAGAGGGAGGGAGAGAGAGAGAGCAGGGGTGGCCACGAGCCGAGCTTCTCCTGATATATAGGCTCGTTTGTTAATCGAGCCAAGCTCGAGCCTAGTGAAGCTCGGCTCATGAGGCTCGTGAGTCTAGTATAATACATACATACATATACATATACGTATACATATATAAATATATATGATTTTTATTATATAATAATATGTTATATATAAACTTTTATTTTTATGTATAATAGCAAATAATTTTTATAATTCTGAATTTTTTGTATGTAAAATATTTATAATTTTTATTTTTAGAAAAAAACTTGGCTTGCAATCGAGCTTAGCTCGAACTTGCAAGCTTTGAACCAAGCCAAGTTCGAGCTCAAGTTTCTAACTCGAATTGAGCTCAAACCTAACACAATTTCAGCAAGCTGAGCTTGAATAGTTAAGTATTCGGCTCGGTCCAGCTCGACTTCAATCCACCCTGGAGGGAGAGAGAGAGAGAGAGAGAGAGGCCGCTTGGCATGGAGACCGGATCTGCTCCTCACACCTTGCGCCTCATACATCTCCCGTACTTATTAGTGAATATTCACGGGAGATGTTCCCAATGCATGGTGGATGTACCTGTGAGGCGCCCATTTGTGAGGAGCAAATCCCGTCACCTTGGCATGCTGCTCTTCACTAACTCACGGACATGGAGTTCAAGCTATGATTGGAGAGGTACAAGGAGCACAGCATGGTGGTCCATGCGTTTGGAATCATTTACCTAGAGGCTAGAATGTATCCGGAGAAGGTGGGTTGTCTTGTTGTAAAGTAGGATCGACCATTGTCACAACTAAATGTTTCTGCTTCGGTTGATCTAGATTGTTGGAAACATGCGACTCCAGCACGGTAGCTCCAAATTCTGGCTTGAAGAACCAACATTAATCCCCATATTGACACCAACATTCTCAACAACCACCATGACCGGAACACCCGGATAGGATAAATGATTCTTTCCAAAATTTCTCTCTGATTTCTAATTTGTTTATTTTTATTTTCAATTTGGAAAAGAATTGGATAATGCGATCTAGAAATCGACAATTTTTCGGTGGAGCCAGGATTTTCGAGCATCCCTTCTACCCTCTCTTCTTTTCCTCCGCCATAGGTTTGGAGCTTTGACCCAGGCGAGCCCAAAGATTGTCTTTGCATGTTGAGAGAGAGAGCATCTAAGCTGTCTTCTCATCACCTTAAATCAGCAGGAGAAGTAGGCCAATAAGGAAGAACATTAGAGAGAGAGGATTTCAAACTAGCTTCTAAAAGTCTCGCTAGCAAAACACACCATCGTTCTTCTGATTAAAGCTGGTTCCATATCTCTCCTCAGAGGGGAGATCAAAAAACCTATTGCACACATCGATCATCTTCTATATAACATCCATGGGAATGCCATGGTTTGTCACCTGCAATTGATCTACTATGATGAGCTTCCTGTCTTTGAATGACCAACTTAATAGTTCACAACAACTAAATCATTTAAGTTAATTGAAATTTAAAGCTGATTGTCCACCTGAAAGAACCCATATTCTTCACAGGCTTTCGCCATGTTCTTTAGAACTTGGGACCTCTCAGACCTTGCAATTGAGAGGGAGAGAGAGAGAGAGGTGGGGTGGGGTGGGTAGGGAGATGATGATGATGATGATGCGTTTGCATTTTTGAGGCATGCGGTAAACTTTCTCTGGAGGAGGTTTCACTTTGTTTCTCATTTCTTTACCCTCTCCCTTTTGTTTCTCAATTCTTTGTTTTCCCTTTCCTTCTTCGTACTGCGGAAGGGGAGGCCTAAGACTAACATGCTCAAGCAGGGGCGGGTCCCGTACACTCTTCCCAAAAAAAGTAGAAAATCAAACTCAAATAACGATCTTGCCTGAAGAGTTGCAATAGGTATCTCGTGAGGAGTTGCAGAAGTGTAGAGAGAGGTCGCAATTTGAGGCGTGCGCTTGTGTGTTTCTTCAGCTTTCTCAAAATTTTCGTTTGATAGGTTTTATTTTGAAAATTTGAGGAATAATAAAGGGTAAATTTGAAATTTCATTAAAGTTTGTCGATTAGCTAAAACACTAGGGGTAATTTAAGAAATTTGCCAAAAATAAAAAAACTAGTCTGGCGCGTTCGTTTGGATTTGGTTTACAATCGGGGGTCGCAGGAGATTTGTACTCGGCGGGAAGACATTCGTCTGGTTAAAAACTTATCCGGACGAGCGCGAGAAGGAATCAACCCCCGATTTTCCGAAGTTTGAACACGAACTATGGAACCACTAACGCAGGTGCAGGAGGAGAGACAAGATGCACGGCCGGCCTCGCAAGCCCACGAAGTCGGAAGACGCCGTTTCAACTTTCAATCGCTAAATCTACTGAGCTCTCAGCTTCCCCACAATCATCACAACAAAATGTAATCCCACAAACCCGAAAGAAAGCGGAAAAGGAAAACCCTTTACTTGAATTTATATCCTCTACACTGTCAGATGTGATCGGGGAAAATTTTCAATGATCAGGGTTTTAAATTTTACACCCATTTATGACGACGAGGTATCACAAATTATGCTCGAAGCTCCTAGAAAGTACAAACAAATTCTGAAGCTCACACTGGTTGGAATTACAGAAAGCTTGCCGTGGAGCATAATCTCCGCTCTGAAACCGATCCCGACACCATTACAGCCGTCCTTGAACTCAAAGTCGTATGTTTTGATCGACCCTCTCATCGCTGTTCCATTTCCTCTTCTCTTGTCTAGTTTCATAAATAATAACCATTTTCTTGTTGTATTTCTAATAATGTAGGTGGAGAGTGCATTGAGAAGAAATTCTAATGAGTCTTATGGAGCTTGGCACCACTTGAAATGGGCTTTAAACAAGGGATTATTCTCACTCAATCATAAATTCAGGCTTTTGGATCAGTTCAAGAAAGCTGATTCTCGTAATTTTCATGTATGGAATTACCGAAGTTGGGCTCTCTGTCTGCTCGTGCTTTTTAAGTAGTACAGTTGTGAGATTCTTATTAGTTCTGATTTTTGTCGTTTTTAGGTTTGTTGTAGAATTGAAAATTGTGAAAATGTGCCAGAGGAGGAGGAGCTAAGGTTTACTATGGACATGATACATATCAATTTCAGCAACTATTCCGCATGCCACAATCGTAAGTACGAAAATTTATTCATCGTTGATGATTTAAACTACGACAGAAGATTCATAATTGGAGTTTCTAGACCGGCGGTTTGCTCCAATTTCTTGTATTGCAATTTGGAGTTACAATTTGTATAGATTGTTGAAGATTTTATGAAAATAACAACTGAACTTGTGTTTCTGTTCTTAGTTCTGATTTATTTGAATTTAATCTCGTAAAATCTGTAGGAAAACATATACAAACATAATATAGGTGAATGGAAATGTATGGATGTTGGAAATTTTGAGCTGGAGAGGGAAATTTCTATGCTTAGACTCTTTTAAAGACATGTGCCGGTGTTGTTGGTATTCCTGATTGATGGAACCAATTAGGGGGGGGG